CAGCGACCTACCTTTGAAAGAACTTTCACAACAGTCCAGGGTTTGACTTCATTTATTAATCTATTCATAGTACAGTAAGCTGGTCGCTGTTATCGACCGACCATCTCTGGTAATGTTGATGAATAAGGCTCTAAAACCGTTCCTGGACAAGGTGAAATTACTCAATATTTATTCTTAATATTAAATTATTTAAAAATTAATAAATGATTTTTATGTAAAAGTATTAGAACAATACAGAACATTGACTGGGAACAGACAGAAAATGAATTGAACAATTACACCAAAATAAAAAAGGCGTAAGCCAAGAATGAAGTTTTAACGTTTAAAGAGAGAGGATCCTAAAAGAAGTAGAAGTTCTACCAGGAATTATTACTGGTAGACGCCATCTTAACAAAATTAGAAGATACACAGATATCACACTGTTGACAGAAAAAGTTTCCAGCTTCTTCAAGATAAGCTAATAAAGAAACTAAGAAGAAAGGACAAGTGATTGATTGTAAGAATGTTGAATGTAATGAACACAGTGGCATTAAGGACACACCCCAAGATGCAAGCTAAGATTTAGAGGCACAAAAATACGAAAGTGCACTAGAATAGCGAAGGATGTCTTTCAAAAAATAAAAGTATTAAGAAAGAGAAAAAATATTTGGAATATAAATAGAAGAGTGCTCCACACTTGAGGCAACAGAAATGTCATTTTACAGACGGATGTTAGGTATACCTTGGACGAAACATATGATTAAGGAGGAAGTTTTAAGAAAAATGGAAACGAAAAGGAATTTTTTGATTAGTATGAAACGGTTGAATTTTCGAGGGCATATAATGAGGAAAGAGGGCTTTGAAAACTTGACACTTATGTGACAGGCAAGAAGAGCAGAGTGAAACTGCGAGTAACCGACCTAAGATTGTATAAATGGATGACAGAACAAGGAGTGACAAAGATAGTAGAGAGATAAAGATTGTTTAGAGGTACAAAGGATTGGAAGTTGTGGAGAGCCATAATCGACCATGTGCTGAAGGGATACGATACATAAAAGAAGATGACCAGGAACTGCTGCCCATGGTTCATTTTTGTTTTTTTCATAAAATGTATAGAATCTATTTAAATTTCTGTCATGACATAATCAGAATATAATTTCAAAGACACTAGCCGTAAGGTTCAAAACCTATTAGAAATTTTTAATTCTGCAGATTTGAGAAGTTATAGACTGACAGCGAGAAGAAATTGGTACAGTAAATCCCTCATATCCGGAATCCCTCATCACCGGAATCTCGCATATCCGGACATGATTTTGATGTCTATATTTGAACTATTTGGGTGATACGTAACTGAATTGAAATTTCTGTGTTTCTGGAAATTTACTTTAGATAATTGCTTATGCTTATTTCATCTTAATGGCTTGTATTGGTGCAAAAGATAATGGGAATAAGTGGAAAAGAACAACTTTCGAGTTAGCGCAAAAAGTGGAAATGAAAAGTTCGTGGTAACTAATGGCTGAGCTCAACATAGTAAAGTCAACATTGTAGGATATAAAATCTTCCAAAGAAACTATTCTCCAGCGTTCACATTGTCACAATGAACAAGAAAATAAAAAACATGATTGTGATGAAACCTGGACTGAAATTGAAAAAACTATTGAAAAGGTTATCAATTTTATGGAAAGAAAACCAGCATTCTGCTATGACGATTGCAATAACGCACGCATTTCGAGTTATATATATATATATATATATATATATATATATATATACCTCCAAATATATTTTTTTTAAAAGTGCATAGCATGATGAAAAATGCCCCAGTCGTGAGAAAAACAAAGTTTTATCGTCAAAATGCTTATGCAATTATTAAGAGGTAAGACCAAAATATTATTTTACTATTTTATTAAATTTTAATCCTTTCTATAACGTTCGAAATTTAGGTTAAAAATCTCGTCTTTTTTTTTTTTTTTTTTTTTAGTCGGTTAGTGGGGATAAAATTTGTAAGTAAAATTAGCATCATTTCTGCGGTAAAAACATATTGTTTTGAAATTCTTGCAAAAATCAAATGGCTGTTGGATTTTAATCCCCACTTACTTAAATAAAGTCTCAGTAGAACAATATAAGATCTGCTATCACCTTGTAAAAGACGTCAACACGGTTACTGTCTGGCTAAAAATCCACTTTTAAACTTAAAGTAAATAATATTTATTTCAAATCAGATTAATCAGATTTTAAATAAGCTAATATTCTTCAAATAAAGTTTCAGAAGAGTATATTTTATTTTGGGGAGATTTTTTTAATAGAGAGAATTACATTGTGATGTTTGACGACTTTAAAAGGGCGCTAATCAGCGATTTTAGCAAAATAAATAAATAAATAAAATAAAGAAAGAAAGAAATTTTTCCAGTCAATTTAAATTAGTTTTTAAAGTACAGCAAAATATTTTGCTCATTGGGAATATTAAAATTAATGTATTAGCTATAAATTAAAATTAAAATAAAAGCTTCCAGAAAGATTTTTCATTTCTTTTAAATATATATATATATATATATATATATATATATATATATATATATATATATATATATATATATATATATATATATATATGGATAGATAGATATAGACATATATGGATATAGATAGAGAGAGAGAGAGAGATATGAATTGTGGCTATAGAAATCAGAACTGGGGGTCTATAAGTTAGGGAGGTGAGAAACCCGTCCTCCCCAGTTTCTTTTTTTAAGGTAATATTTTAGGTTATTTATAGTTCTGACCTTTACTTTGCTTATTTTAATTATTTATTTGACATACTTCCAAGATTTTTAGTATTCAACAACTTATGTGAAAAGCAATTTGTCAACAACACAAATTACCGATCGAAAGATTTACAGTAGATCAATTTAAGGTTATTTTTCTTCTCTTCTCCAGAGAAATACGCAAGTGAAAATGAAGAAATTACATTTAATGTTTTTCTTGACTAGTTTTGCCTTTTTCTTAAGATTAATATTTTACTGATTTGTTTTTCCTTTTTACGCCAACATTCCTTTTCTTTCTAATGACAAGGAGTATTTTGTTCATTGATTTTCCTATCAAGAAAATCAGTTTAGGACGACGCAAAGCCAAAATGGAGAAAACAGGAGTAAAAAAGAGATTAAGTCTGTCTTTCAAGAGAAGGCAAAATGTCAACCTTGCAAATCAGTATTACATGAACTTGAAGTAGTACAAATGAGTAGTACGAATGCGTAACGATCGCAAAGACAGTGCCTTTCAGTGATTAGGACTCTGAATTCTTCCAAAAATGGAATAATTTAATAATGCAACAATCCTAAGTTTATTGTTTACCACCTTCTGTTATCTAATTTAGTCAGTGTTTCAAATTTTCCTGTGAATCAAATAAAAAGGAGCCCAAAGTTTGGCTTGCTAACAATACCAATAGCGACGGTGGTGTTTGATACCAAAATTTCAAATGCTAAACAGATCTTTCTCACATGGAGAATTGGCGTAACACAATCTTCCCACATTGTCTTTTGCCCATTCTATGCTATAGTTTGTAAATATGAAAAGAAACGCCACATAATTTTAAATCCGATAAACACAAGTTTATGATAGATTCATTAATTGGAAGAACAATGTCGGCTTCATTAAATTAAAATTATTGTTTGACTGAAATGAAGCATCTTTTGTTATTCATATTAGCGTTTACTTGTGGAGATTAGCATTTCTTTCCATTTTACGCTTTCGCAAGTGAAATTGTTTGTGATAATCTGATGTCGCTTAGAGAGGAAATTTTAAAATCTTGGAAACAGTGAAATTATTTCTATTTCTTTATTTTCCAATTCATACGTTTATTTGTCTCAGCCTCACTTTGAATATTTTCCCAGATTCGATGACAAAGTAAATGAATTTCCAAAACGAAGAATACGCAGTCTAACGTGTAACTTAGAACAAAGATTTTTGATACCGCACCGAATTCAGAGGAAGAAAATATTTTGCTTCGTGAGTTATGCCAATTTTTGGACATTCATCATAAAATAGGAACTTATTATTTCTGCATGGAAATATTTCAATTAAGAATCCTGTTTTCTTTTCCTGCGATTAAATTCCAAGATTATTCTCAGACATATTCCGTGTGCATTTATTTACATATAAACGAGCCTTTAATGGATTCTGACGTCACTGTTTCCCGGAAGAATTATTCATCAATGACGTAAGAAAATTAACATAAAAACGAAATAAAATGTGATCATTTTTACATCCTTTTCACATTTACATCAAACTTACTTAATATTTTAGTGAAGTTATTTTTTCTAACCGCAAATTAATAAAGAAGCGAAGCACGTTGATCTCGTGAGGGAAAGAACCTCTGAGGACTGAGCTGTTTGTTCATTGGTCACCTCTCACGTCAGAAAGAAGAAAATATTGAAATCAATGTTACCTTTCTGTTGAAGCTTATACCGATTATTTAATCATTATCGGTTACGTAAATTATTCGCCTTGTGTGTGTGTGTGTGTTTTTACACTGCTGACTAAAATACCAAACAACAATTAAACAATAAAAAAGGATGGCAAATAAAAGGTAATTTTTGCACGTCGTCTTGAGAATGGAACGTACTGATTCTGTCATTCTAAACGAAGACAAAAATCAGAATGCCATTTCTTTAATTCCCAATGAAGAAGCCATAACTAACAATTCTTCAGCAGAAGAAAGACGCGAGAAAGCACCCACGTTTCTTAATTCCTCAAAGTCTGATCGAGCCAATGCTTTCAGTGAAAATGTCATTAAACCTCAAGTTATATATGTTGCTTCTGCTTCTAATCCTGAAGGCTCTCCAAGAGAAGTTCTACGGAGAAATGGAAAAGTTCAATGCGATGATAATTGCGTCTCTAAACATCCATGCAGTGTATCTTTTACGGTCGACATTCTTAAACCTCGTGTTATATACGTCACTTCTGCTTTGACTTCTGGAAGTCCGACAATACAAAATTCAAACTTTCTGTTACGAAAGTTCAACAATATGAATGAGAATATCCCAAGAGATTGCAAGAAAACTGAAGCTTCTCAAATCCAAGATGGAACGACGAGGCTTGACGGAAACGCTCGCTTGTCGTCTTCACAGGAAGAAAAAAGACATGATGATATTATTAATTCAAATGTCTTTTTTGATGACCATCCCATGAAAAGAACGCAAAATGATAAACATGTTAACTTCGAAAACGACACAGCACAGCTTGACACAATATCTGCCGATAGAAACCAAACTATAGACACTCAAGTTAAAGAAACTGATTTCGTCCTTGATTCTGATAATCAAACGAATCGAAATATTCGACAGGGAGATCAAGAAATTGATATGAAAAAGGAAATTAATTCAACTGTTCGAACTGATACAGATGTCCCTATTATATACAGTAACAAAGCAGCAACAACGGCTATCCTCGACGAAACTTGTTGCTCTATTTCTGTAATATCTAGTGACAGAGAGAGTGAAATAGAAATTACTTCTAATTTATCTCTTGACGACTGCGCAATAGAAGACATCCAGACGAGCAATACCCTAAATCAGAATGGCAAAGTGAAGCCAGTAAACCCAGATATATTTTCACTCAACGTTGATGGCCACATTTATGAACCTCAAATGAACTGTATTGCTTCAGGCTTCACTGTTAGTGAACATTCTAGTTCACATCATTTGTGGGGAACCTCCCAGATTCAAACCAATGACAACAAAAGCTCTAGTGTAACGGACAGACCTCCAACAAAAAATTCAGACAAAATATCTCTCTATTCGTTTACAGGTGAAAATATGTGCGTAGAAAGGAATTATCCGCTGTTTTCAAGAATGATGCTTAATATTTCGTTTTTAATTCGTCTCATTTACTTAAACTGCGCTATTCATAGTCGGAAGTTAATCGTTGGTTTGATCTTTATCATATCAGGTCTTCTACTTGTCGGTGTGGGTTCAATTGTATATTATTGAATTTAGTGAAAACATTGCAACTTAAATCTATGACTACGACGCACCAACAATTCGCTCTCTGAAAGCTTTGTTAGCAATGTTTTAAAATAAAGCTTGCTTTAAGATTTAGAATGTCTTTCGACAAAAACCACTTGTTTTGGTGGTATTTTTAAAATTTATTTATTTTTCCCTCATCATTTTTCATTTTTTAAAAAATTTTTTCTTACTCATTTTCTTGCTTTTTCTTTCTTTCTGTTTTTTCTATCCAATTAATTTTTTCTTTCATTATTCTTTTTCTTTCTTTTTAGTGCCATCTGCTTTTACTTTTACCTTCTCTTTTCTTTTTCGTTTGCTCTTCTTTTGCTTTTACTTTTAACTTGTTTTTTTCTTCTGCTTTTCTTTTCTTTAGCTTTTACTTTTACCTTCTTTTTTTTTCTTTTTCTCTTCTTTTTCTTTCTCATTTTTATCACATTATTTTTCTTTTATATTTCATTTTCAAATTTTCTTTTATTTCTTAGTCCTATTAATGTTTGTCCTTTTCTTTTGGTTGCTTTTACTTTTGTTCTGTTTCAATTTCTTTTTCCATCGTCTACTTTTTGTAACCATTTAACTCGAAGCAAGGCAATTAGGCCACTAAAATGCAAGGCGGGGTTGCTGAATGTGAGAGAGAAAAAGTTAATGAGAGAGCACAATAAAAAGATATACTTTTTTCTTTCATTTCTTTTTCCTCTCTTTTTTAGTTTTATTTTTTCCATATCTTTTCGTTTTCTCTTTTTTTCTTTCTCTTTTTTATTCTACTTTTCTTCTTTTTTCTTATGCTATTTTCCTTTCAGTTTTTCTTTTTTTTCCTTTGTTTTCTTTATTCCTCTTGAATGTTCTGGTACTTTTGAGGTTTTATCGTTTCACTCTCGAACGCTATCAGCCATTGCAAAATAATAACAATGTTCATTTTGCCTTTTCAAATTCGTCCATCCTACCGGCTTCAAATTTAAAATAAATAATTAAAGTATGCTATAAACTGTGCAAGTTTTGTATATTTTTAGATATATCCAATTATAGAAATGGCAAATTTTGTTTGTTATTCATTTACTTAATAAATGTCTTTCACTATTATTACCATTTCATCAATGATGAAATTTATTTTTGAGAATTCTTTCAAATTGAGAAAGAATTGTATATTTTAAATGTCTTCATTATCAACCACTATTCTGAATTTAATTTTTGGTATTTATATTTCTGTTTGAAAGCCGTAGTACAATACAAAAATAATGCAATTGCGCAACAGTGCATAGTCTTTATAGCAAGGGAAATCTTGTATGACTGGATTGTCTCATAGGTAAGTTGGATCAGTCACAATGCAAGGGAAGTTTTTTTTTAAATTATTATCGCGTTAAGAGTCAATTGTCTCTTCACAGATTTTTTTAGCATAATCAAGTTTTTAAATCTGTTATATGCACAAATACGTGGCAAAATATGGATTAGCTTAAATTTTGATTGATTCGATTTCATAGAAAAGTTGTTAGAAAAGTTCAAACGAGTTTCGTATTTAGGATTGCATTTCTTATTTACTTGAAATATTAATCGATTCCAGTGATAGTAATCTAGGCATTTTTCAAAATTAAATTGAAAGTTTTAATTCCATCAAATAAAAAACCCCTGCAAATCGAATTTAATTTTTAATTATAAAGAATGTATGCGACAGGCTGATAACCGGGTTCGATAAGAAAATTAGTTCAAATTTGTTTATATGTTTTTCAAGTGGTTCATTTACGCATAAAATACCATCGACCAATAGTCAATCATAGTGGATCTATGAATAAAAGTTATTTCTCTCCAATGTTTATTCTGTTCGAAATTGTTCTTATTAAAGGAACATTCTATTTTCCATTATAAAACTATTAAGTTATCTAAAATCAAAAATATTTTGAAAATAAGATGTTTATTTGCGCTCTTATATAATGCAATTTTATAAAAGTTTGATGATAACAACATTTTGATCAATATTAGCATAATTAATCTATAATTATATTTTGTATTAACTAATTATTTATTGAATTTGTACTTTAAATTAATTTTGAATTAAGATTTCTTAGATTTTTGTTTTGTTTTTCATATATCTCATTAGAATAGGTTATTATTTGGATGTCACAACGTTTGGAAATATACACGATTGCCTTAATACTGAGAAAAAATTCAGTCAGAATAGACGAGATTAGAAAAGGAAATAAGGAGATATAAAGGAAATTTATCTTTTGAAAGAAATAAATGAATTGTCCATAACGACAAATCCAAAGAATTATCCGTTCCTAAATTGTTTCTTCTTTTTTCAAATGATAAATTGATTCTCGCTTTGATATGTATCTAATTTAATCCAACCGTAACAAGTTTATTCTTATCAAATAAGATTCAGTGCGAGAAGTAACTGTCTGTAAAATATGTGGCTGAGGAATGAGCTAATCTCAAAATCGAAAGAAAATAGAAAGATTTTCCTTTTGTCTGGACGAAAGAGATTGTTGATATTTAAAGGATTTATATCGCGGTGTTCTATATTAGAATTTAGTACGCTATGGTTTAAGGGAGGCACGGATTGAGGAATCGGAGAGCCGAGTTCTAATTCCAGTTGAATCCATTACATTCACTTACTTGCTAATACCCTTGCGAAAGGTATGACTCTTCTTCTTCTCCAATAGTAGGACAAACCGGGTTCTATAGCCTTGGATGGCAACTGGTCTACCGGAGAAAGAAATGGCAACATACTGCGGGATTCAGTCATACATCGAAAAGATACATAATCTCCTAAGCGTGTATCACCCATGGCACATATATAAAACAGAGTGATAGTTACACAAATAAATAAATAAATATAAGTAAGCTATTCTATTGCATCATCTGGATGATGAATTGATAAAAAACAAATGAATATAAACTAAAACTAAACATCTTTAACAAATTTGAAACAAAGGTTCAATCTATCTATCTATCTATCTATCTATCTATATATATATATATATATATATATATATATATATATATATATATCTCTATTCATATATATATATATATATATATATATAATCTCTGTTCATATATATATATATATATATAATCTCTGTTCATATATATATATATATATATATATATATATATATATATAATCTATATTACATATATAGTTTTCTAAATAAGACATTTATCAAGAAAAAGAACAAGCGTAAAATTTATCGATGACTAAAAATGAGAAAATCAAGAAATGATCTCCAACTTTTTTGCTTTTCGAATTAAATACAATGTACATCTGTCATAGCGTTCCGATTCACTGACCTTGGGTCACATCAAAATAACTATGTCATCTATTTTCTATTTGGTGGGTGCGGCAAACAAAAGTGTTCGTTCCAGACTTGCTTGTTGGCTGAAAGTAACAAAAACAGGCTTACGTATTTTCATAGATAGGTACTAGAATGAGATAGATGGATACTTGAATGATACACACACACACACACACACATGTGTGTATATATATATATATATATATATGGATAGATAGAAAGAGAGAGAGAGTGAGAGGTAATTTTATGAACAACATTTGAATGCACTTCTTTCCAGTGAATCGTAAGAAAATCTAGATAAATGCTTCCTGGCTCTCATAGATTGCATCTTGTCAATAAGATTTGATAACAAACGTGTTTTCTAGATTAGACACATGCACGCGCATACACGCACGCTCATACACACACACAAACACGCGCGCGCACACACACACACATTCACATACTAATGATTTTGTTATCCTGTGCCTTTTTTAATAGAGTAGATGAAAATGAAATCTTGACTGAATAAATCTATATGAAATAAGTTGGAAGAATCATTTTTGATAATTTAATCTTCTGAATTAATGAAGAATACTCTAAAAAATATTGAAATTTTTTTTAGAAAAATTGTTTTTATTGTAAATTATGAGGCAAAAATCCGTAGAAACATTTTACGTGTCGTTGATATTTTCTTTGTTCACAACGTTTCGGCCGTGAAATCTCAACATCTCTTCAGAGTATCTGTTGTTATTTTTCCGCTAAGTTGGCATAAGTTTCCTCTCTTATACACATTCGGTTTCTTCTTCCGTGCTTTTAGGGATTTTCTTCTAAATTTTGCAATGGATTCTCTAGTTAATTACATAACCAAAAACTATTAATGCAAATGTAAAGTCTTCTGATTGGGCTATTCGAGTATTTAATGATTTGCAGAGTCTTGTAAAATTTTAAACCATCACCCTTCCAATCATTTTGCTTTAATTCCGTAAAATATGGAAATATGGTGTTCGGTGACTCCTGTCGCACTTCACATAGTCAGCCATATCTGATTAAGACATTCCCATGAATTAGAGCTTTTCAGTGTTCCAGATGGGTGTTTTTTTTTTGTTTTTTTTTGTTATTTCTTTGGGCTCTTGCACAACAAATAGGTCATTTTTGTAGAGACATAATTACCTGAATTTATTTATGTACTTTAAACACTGTGCGTATTTGTGTGCGTGTGTGCGCATATGTATGTGTACGCGCGCTGACGGGTGCGTTTAAATAATTGTATATAGCTTGCGTCTCAGGTTTGTAAGTCTTTTGTCCCATCACACCTGTCCAAACCTGTTCATCTGAGAGAGAGAGAGAGAGAGAGAATCAATTCTAGCATCGGCCACGCCTCGTTGCTCGCTACTTAATATATTTAAGACTATCATTTTTTTTTTGTGATGCATTTGCTTTCGTGACATCACTGCCCTCACCGGCGAATGTAATAGCAATAAGAATTATTACCTGTTTTTTTTTTTTTAAAGCAAATCCATTTTAATGTGTCATATAGTAAGTCTAGAAAATTTTAATTTTCGTCAATTTTAATAATAATATTTGTTTTATTCGACTCACATAATAATAATAATAATAATAATAATAATAATAATAATAATTCCAAATCAATAGAGTAAATTTTACTAATAGAGTCTAATTGAGAAAGTACCAATCTAAACCGACTTTTAATGCATCCCACTAAAATCTCCAGAAATTGAAACCAGTTGTTTTGGCTAATTACGTAAACTGACTATATATGTTAACGAAATGCTGATGTGGTGATAAATAGAAGAAGTGATGAAAGCGCAATAAATCCCTAAGTTAAAACTTAAATAAGAATAATTAAATAAATAAAATGGAATATATCGCTCTATGACCACGTTCAAAGCTTCAATCTACACAGGACACTCGCAGTAGAAAACCTACGACCACAGGGCCTTACTGCCGTATGTCACCCCAATGGGCCCTGATACATGAACTCTGGTTCAAAAGGTCGATTCAGTCATGCATGTGCTGTTATTTACCTTAAACCTTCTGACGTAAATCTGAGTAAAACATCACGCAACTGCGGCAAGTGGTTGTAGTGAAGAGCTTGTGACAATCATAAAAACCTTTCTGAAGTCAAATGGTGATATACTTAGCTGCTTTACAATTCTAACATTTGCAGACACATTACTGTTTACAGATTTAGAAATTTGTAACTAGGTCTACATTTTGAAGACAAATAAAAAAAAACATCAGAATATAGGATATCAGCATAAAAAATATCTCCTCGATTTCGATATTTACTAGCTTCAGCTTTGATAGAAACATACAACATTAGAGAAATACTTAGTGAAAATCAGTTTTAATATCCTGGCACGGATTTGAAGCTGACTTGATAACAATATCTGAAACGTGAATGATAGACATTTTGTTTTATGCTCATCAGTAAATTTTACTAAATAAGTCATAATTACAAATTGTACTTAATAGGTTATAATTATAAGTTGTACTAAATAGGCCATACTTATAAATTGTACTAAAAATTAACTTACATATTC